TATCTGTGAGTCCCCAGTAACTCTCATCATTTGAAACAGTGCAGGCAACTGTGTTTTCATTTTTAGGGCTGAACAAAATGTCAGTAGGTGACAACCAAGGCTTGCTGGTGCCAATCGTAATTTAGTAGTGCTAAATATGGTTAGCAGTCTGGCTCTGTGGCCTTTTTTAGAAAGGGCTGTATTATCGTGATACCATTTTCTTTCATCCCATTGCACTGGGGAAAATAGGGGCCAGTGGTAATAAGCCTAAAACCAAGTTTTACCCAATCACTTCCACCCCTCACCCCCCCCAGTTCAGGGTCATTCTTCAGCCTTCAATGTTGTCATTGTCTTTTTAGACTGTGTTTAAGAACGTGCTGCTTGCGTGCTTCACTTTTATATGAAGTAAAAAATTAATCTCAAAATTCTGTAGTGCTGGTTTAGGAGTAAACTTCTTGCAGCTGAATTAACCCAGATTACTAAAATACTTAGGGCTTCAGAAGTAGCTGTTGTCAGAAATGAAGCTACCTTCTGTCTTAATTTTACTGGCACCTGATGTCAGCCTGGTTTTAGATCTCCGTGTTTCCAGACAGTCTGAACTCTGGTGCTTCCAGAGCGTTGGTCGGTGATCACGCAGACCCAAACAGCCTGCCCTGGGCCTGCCTCACTTTGTTCGGTACTCTGCCTCGCAGCCTCACGTAACACAAGCACCCAGGTTTTGCAAATCCTTGCCTGCAGGTGATGGCTGTGCTCCAAAAAGGCATTATCTGTGGTGACCTTTTAGGGCAGGGTATCACAAGACATGCAGAATGAACATAGTTCACCATTCCTGAAAATGTGTACATGGTGGAGAGAAGGGAGCAGGAGAGTGAAGGTGACAGGAAACAGGAATTCATCCTTGTACCTGCAGCACACCATTCTATTAGCTCAGCTGCACATGAAACCAGACTCTCAGCAAAAACAAGAGAACTTGCAGATCCCCGCTGCCGCCTTACCTGTGCTAATTTGATTCAAGGTATCTCA